ATATTAGGGCCTCCACAACGTAAATAATAGAGTAATTCTAACAAAATTTTCATTGTACTATATTGAAACAGAATGGAGGTGCCACATCGTTTCTTCAGAATCATTACTCCTCCACAAAATCATAATACCCGTCTGGTTAGTCACACAACAGTTTCTCCTCTCACATTTGAATGGATGCATTCTTAATATCTCTCTTATACTTTTTAATGTATATAATAGATGCTTCCCAAATCCTTTGTCAACAATTGGAGACACCAACTTGGTGACACAGATGGTATAATTGTCACAATACGATTGGAAAGATATAATGGAAGAATATATTTTGTCGATGGATGGGAACAATTTGTTGACCATTATAACTTACAGGATGCTCATGTTTTGGTATTTGAATATAACGAAAACTCCACATTCAATATGACCATATTTGACCATTCTGGATTAGAGGTCACATATGACTTCGATGTTCCCAAAGAGTACAACGCTTCACATACAGATAACCCTGCATTTGAAATAACACTAACACCTCATCACAATAGCCATCGGGAAATTGTAAGTGTCATCTTTAATATCTCATTCTACATTCATCTATTCCACATAAATTTGATTCAAAGATCAATAATTTATTCATTCATAGTTTTCCAGGGTATACCAGAACAGTTTTTTAGATATCACCTACCAAGAGGTCTGCGAAGTGTTCAAATCCATGATTCTTTACATCACGATTGGGAGCTCGCCACAAATTTGTGACCAAATTGTCTAATAAGACGTATGACTGTAGGCTGGGCAGATTTTTTTAGAGAGAAGAACTACAAATGGGCAATACAAGTGTTTTCAAACTTTTGAACAGTGAACCTCCGACGTTCATCGTCTACAAAAAAGACCATGTTGGTGGAAGCTTGACACGTCTATGAGACCTCTTTACTTTTTTCTAAATGAATTTGTATATACGAAAAATATTTTATTTTCATGTATTTCTATCCTGTTATTTCCACGCCCAATTCTATTTACTCTCTTATTTTCCAGTTTACTCTAGAGTTTGTGTACAACAAATCAACATCAACATCGAAGTTCAACACTATACAAGAAAAATAAAAAATAAATCATATGAAAGTAGATTTCTCCCTCATTAATCATCGCAAGAAAAACCTCTAGATATTACTGCTACCACAAACTCTAGATATTACTGCTACCATGAACTAAAGAGAAGTTGAAAACATTCTCCACCACTACCTGCAAACTAAAATAAGGCCAAAAGAACATGCGTCAACGATCGAACAAACAAAGAGAACAAATACAATATAAGCGCAATGATTGAAGCACAAAATACAAATATCCCAAATATAATAGAAAGAGAAATATTATACATACATGGCGAAAAGAAAGGAACCAATGAAGCTCAAAGAGAAAAAGGAGTCAGGCAGTAGCGTGTGAAAATTAAGAAGAATAAAGAAAAATCTACCTAAAGTGGGTGCATCACTGTAGCTTATATATATATATATCTGCAAACGGCCTCGTCTTGGCTCCAGAGATGGAAAAAATTAAAAATAAAAAAATTGCTACTGGAAGAGCAGATGGCGTCGTTTTTGCTCCAGGAAAAAAAAGGTTGCTACAGTGTGTAAAAATGGAAAAATCTACTATTCTTTCTACAGTAGCAACACATTGTCCTTTTTATATAGTAGTGATAGTCTTTGAAATAATTGGCCACTATTTCATCAAGTTTTAAATTTGAGAGGTAATTCATGGATTTAGCCCACGTAGTAAAATTCGCAATTAGGATAAAAGGTAGATATACACTTTTATAATTGTTGCAATCATTAGTTGAACTTTTTATGATTTAATGCATTTAATTGAGATTTATTTGGACTTATATAGAGATATAAAGAGTTGATTTGGCTAGATATGATTAATTTTAATTCGAGAGTGGTAAATTAATTCAATTAACAAATTTGACCGAATACAACATTAGGAATGAAATTTGAGAGGCAAAACTAAAGGGCATTATTATGGTGGAATCGCAAGTTCTAATACTTCTCACATATATGTTAAAAACCTTAATTCTTAATTGTGCATTTTTAACAGCTTTCTTGGATTTGTAGTACTACTCTTCCTGAGAACTTGAAGCCCCCTTTCTCTAAATAAGAAAAAAAAATGCAAAGGCCTAGAATGAAGCAATCTGGATCAACAGATTTTCCCCTCGAGGCCTGCTTATAGGCCTAGGCAAAAAATAATAATAATAATGAAAAATCGACCAAATCGATCAATCCGACCCGGTCCGGATTAGTTTGACATATGTAATTGGTTAGGTTTGGTTTAGTTTTTTCATTTTTTTTTTTTAAACAAAACCATGGTGAATCAGTTCAGTCATGATTTGAAAGCCTTAAACCGTAGGTTAACTGAACCAACCCAACCCAATCCACTCACATGTTTACATTTTTTATTTTTTATTTTAAATAAAAATCAAAAGATAAGCTCTAGTCCCATAACTATATCTCGATTTCCTCTAATCTATGATATTGCCAGTACGTAATTGCACTGAAATTTTCTTTTCATAAGCTCATTGTGTTATACTTAGCCATTTTTCCTACTCAAATAGTCAAGCAAAATAATGCATAAAAAAACAATAAAATTCTTGAGTCTTCTGTTGATCTGTCTTTATTAATCTGATTTTATTTGCTAGTCATTCGTTATTGTAATATAAAGTTATTTAGTCATTTTAATTTTTGTAATCTAAGTGGGTCTAAAAATCAGACAATTTTATTTTTAAAAAATAAAATAAAATCAATTTGGACTAAAGGTTCAAACCAACTAATCGAACGAAACGGAACCAACCCAAACTGATTCGGTTTGGTTCAGTTCGATTTAAGAGTTAGAGTGGGTTAGTTTGGATTGGAATTTACCCAAACTGACTAATTTGGCTTGGGTCTTGTGTTGGATTCAAAATCAATCCAAATCAAACAATGTCCAAGCCTACTGATGTAGAATAAGTCCTCTTCGATTATCCTTGGAAGTGAGGTTGTATACATGTCAGGCGGTTTGGTTTCGCCTCTAAAAACTCATAAGGATTTTTCCTTGGAGTCTAGTTCAATTCAAAGATGCATCGTTTAGGTTTTGGGGTTGACAAGGCAGATCTTTGTCTTCGTGGCAAGGTTTCAAGCAATTCAATTCATGTATGCTTTTTTCACTATCAAAATACAATTTGTTTTTAATACTTAGGTTATAATTATAATCATTAATTGTTTTTACCTGAAATTTAAGTCGGTAATAGTTAAATCGTATATAATTAGATAAATAGTACATGTACAAATGACAATTCAGACTCTTAAATCCATTTTATTATTTGTTAACAATATCATATACTTGAGACTCAAAATATTAACAACATTAATATCACAAATCAAAGAAAAGAAAACGTGGTTTTCATATATTCAAAACGTGAAGATATTTGACTTTTTACTGGAATTCACATCATAATTCCGAATTCTCCAATTCGACAACCCAAAAGGACAAAAACAGCTCAATAAGATGCATGGATAATTCATTTCATCTATTCAAGTTTCATCAAATGGGTCCAATCAATTCTACTCCAAGAAGCACTTCCATTAACACTTTTTTATTCATAAGTGGTAATATTCTTTTCACTATAGTCTCTTCATTATATAGTTTTCTTTATTTTACAGCAAGAATTTTCCTATTATTTTCTTTAATTTAAGCCACAATGTAACCGTTGCCAACTAAATTATTGACAATAATCATTACTTTTACCCACAATTTATGCTCGAAGGTGTTTTTTGCTTTTTTCTTTCCCTTCCAATTTCTCTTTTGACCCACATTTTCCTTTCTAAAAGCCCAAAAGTGGCCACTATACTCATTGCATATTTCTTGTCAAAATTGAGAGTTCATTATGTCTACTATAATTAATCACATTTTGATGAGTGGAGAGATTTGAGTAGTAGAGTAATTAAAATTGATTGTTTCCTATAATCATAATATACACACTTATCTCCCAACTTTAATTTCCCAACTCGAGTAATGTGAGACGGGATATCCTATCATTTCTCTTACCACTTGTAGACTCATATAGACGAGGTTAATAGCATATCCAGTATATTGAAATGAATATTCATAACTCAAATTGAAGAAGACTGAGAACCCTCAACTTGTACGAGATTACACATTATGTAGAGATTAGTAGTGATATTGTAAATTATAATTAAAACAATAAAAAATCAGCAAATTGATCTTGTAGAAAATGTAAGAGGTTTGATTTTGAATCTTTCAAGAACATGGCAATTAATGTTCATATATTTTACACGTTCGTGAGAAACTAGGATAGTAACAATATGAAGAACAATTTAGCTATCATCAAACATGGTGGTAACCTAATTGACCTTATTATTTCATAATACATCGCATGTCATAAAGACAAAAATAATTATTCAGTATAAATAGATAACCCCTGTTTGTAGGGATTAAAATAAGATTTTTAATAGATTTTAGTAAAACGTATGATTAAAAAAATTTCTGTCTCATGGAATATATGATTAAAATTAATTATTAATTTTAATTTTAATCCTTGCCAAATGTGAGCATAATAAGGCCCTGTTTGATCTCCATTATTTTCTCATTAAAATGAAAAATATGATCGTTATCCATCATATTAAATCACCATATTTGACTTTTTATCTCTTACGTGAAACTATAACGACTATATTTTTCATTCTCATTTTTACAATAATGTGGCTCAAACGGGAACTAAATTGACCGTCGATCCGATCAAATATCTTGATTTCGTGTAGAAAATATATTTATATATGTAATCGTTTACTAAACATTAAAATAATAACTTAAATAGTTGATTTAGAGGAGTTGGCGTAACGAAAAATACCCGTTCCTTCTTGTCGGTTCCGTTGTACATGGATGATGACACACGCGTGTTGTATATGTAATCTATATATTGGGCGTGGAGGAAGACGGGAACGACCCCTCGCCCGCAGGTCATAATCATGTTTTCCGATAACTGCTCTTTCCCTTTCCACCCTCACCTAACCAATCTTTTTTGGGTTTTTTGTAGTTAGTTTACTTGCTTCTTCCACGGTGTATCTATTATATTCCTTCTAGACAAAAACAAATAATAAACAATAGAATCCCTATTCCCCACCATGAGTTTTAATAATTACTAAAAATTATTGTTCTTATTTTTACAGTTCAATGCTATTGAGTGTGTTGAGTCTGACCCATTTCGTTTTTCAATGGATGCCATCGTTCTTTAATGAACCTTTAATTATTTATGCTTATGGGTAGAGCTTTACTTAATGAATCTGTGTATCATTTATTGTTTATCTGGTCACCCACTCCATTTCTTGTAGTGGGTTATCTGCATTTAATTGCATTTGCCCCTTTAGAGATTTTGTTGCTGCAGATTTCAGACAAACTGCCTCCACCTTGAGTTTTGTTGGCTGATTTTTTGATCTTAGTAATATAAATCTCTTCTTTACTTCATTGTTGAAATGGGATCATAGTGCAATGCGATTTGCTCAATTATAGTACGAATACCAGTGTACAAATACAGTGTCGGTGTTGCTGGTGCTTGATTTGTTTTTGTCTTTTAGGGTGTGATAATGGGTGGTTTGTGTGAAAATAGTACAACAGCACTGCAAATGGAGTGGCCCTCTCCTCTGCCTCCACTTCCTCTTGACTACAGTTTACAGAGGTGAGATAGTTTGTTATCATTGATCAAACTACAGTTTATTTTCATTCAATTTCTGTCTTTATTAACTAATCTATGATCCGAGTGACGAAAAGGATTTATGTAACTATACACTTTTGCAGGGCTTATAACAGTCAGCTGCTGAAGGATGATGTGCTTAATGTATCGCCTAGACCTTCCCACCATCTAAATCCAGTGAGTATTTTGTCCCTATTAGCTCACTCTTTGATTTGATTTTTACTTAATTTGTTTCTTATTTAAACGGCCAATAGGTCACTTAGTTCTTAATATTCTTTGCCAGGAAATCAGGATTTTCCCATGTTCTCTTGCATGTTGCTTGTATTGAAAAACGGAACAAAGAAATATGTTTGCTAAAATTTTTGCACCTTGTGGAGATTCTTTAAATAGATTAAGCAGCACTTAAGGTTTAGCATTTTGAAAGTCAAGGATTATAATTTACATTTAAAATCATGTATCTTTATAGTGCACATATCAAATAATTAAACTGTTCCTTGGTGCAAAAACAGAATGTAGAGAGTTTTGATTGCTGCTGCTTTTTGAAAATCAGGTGGGAATTTCATAAATTTTGTTCCTGTGCCCAATAGTCTACCACTTTTCTTAAGAAAATGTCAGAATTTAGCTGTTGTAAGAATTTGTTAACTTGCAATTAGAAAATTAATTTCTGTTCTGCTAATATGATTGCTTGTGTATTAATTCAATATTATGTTCATTTCTGACATAGACTACACACATGGGGAGGACATTCGTTGATAAGTCATCCATTTGCTGGGACTCGCGGAAGGAACAGTGCTTTGAATCAGTTGCTGCTAGTCTTTCAGATAGCATGCCAACTTCTAAGGTTATGGAATTGTTTATCTTTTATCATTCATAAATTTCATGTATGAATTTGGTATTTTGGGACATCATAATGTAGAAGTACATGGTGTATGGTGATCAAATTAGTTCATGAATCATGTATTTTCAATTGATTTCTTAAATTTTCATATGGTACTTCACTATTTCTATAAGCCACTTTTGCATTTGGAATTGGTAAGAATCTTTCCGTTCTTTATTTCCCAAGTCAAAAAATGGTTATTCTTTTGTAGTGAATTATGTTAGTTTAAATAACTGTTAGAACATGAACGTAAGTATTGGTACGATCAATATCTAAAGGATATTAACTGATATGTGAATATGATAATTAAGATAATATTGCAGATAGCATCACTTCTTTTTATTTTATTTTGATTTATCACACTTTAGCTGACCTAATTTAGTTACTTGGATGTCCACTGCAGTCCTCAGCAGAACTGGTGAATGAAATTGCCACACTTGAATTTGAAATCGTGCAATTGGAACGCTATCTGCTTTCTCTTTATCGGACAGTTTTTCAGCAGCAATTCCCGTGTACATTGGGAAAACAGGGAACAAGTTTACAGAAAATGAGTGAAACTCCACAGGTTAAGGCTGAAAAATCATCTCCAATAATGGAACTCAACATGTTAAAAGACTATAATGATAATCAAAGTCAAAGTTCCCCTTCCAGTGCTTTTACTCGCTCGAATGATCTGATGACAGTGGCAACTCCAAAGTCATCATCTAGAAGGGTTAATTTACAACATCCCTTATGTGTTTAAATACGCTTTGCTTGTTCAAATACTCTTAAGTTTTCCCTTTAAAATTGGGTTTAAAGCACTGTTACGCAGTCAACTGATAGCGCAGTTTCATGTTAGTCATGGAGGCTTATTTTATTCCAAACAGATTACTGAAGTTTGTTTTCGGTTTCAGGATGGTCAATCATCTAAAATTCGTTAGTTTTCTGATGAAATGTCTGACATGGAATACTGCAGTAGATGTGGCATCTACGTGGAGGTCTTCCACAAGGAAAATTATGTTAGAAAAACTAACAAATTCTAACCGAGTGACCAAATTGAAACAAAACACAAACTTCAACAAGAAAAAGCATGAAAGTTGTGCTATAATTTGAGTTGTTAACAGTGTTTTTAACCCTATAAAATCACATATTTTCCTGCAATAACACGTGTGTTTATGTTTTTTCTTTTTCCGAAGGCATTCTTTGACTGACGATGTCTGTGATGAAAAATTGCAGGAGAAGAATAATGTTTACTCTCCACACCGTAGCCTTGCACATCATCTTGGAAATTCTCGCATAGATGATGCCCTCAATTATCCTGATAGACTATCTGTGGAAATTATAAGATGCATATCTTCAATTTACTGTAAATTGGCAAACCCCACACCAACTCAGAAAGGCTATTCAGTTTCTTCGACTTCTTCATTCTGCTCCTCTAGCACATTTTCTCCAAGAGATCTTTCTGGCAGTTGGAGTCCTCAATGTAATGATGTAGTTATAGAACATTATGATTTTGAAGGCCTAAAACAAGAGAATGGACCATATGCTGCAATGATAGAAGTCCGAAAGTTATGTTTAGATGATGAAAGTTATAATTATGCTGCTAAAATGCTACAAAAATTCAGGTGTCAACATTTACCCGTATATTATAATTCAGACTTTATTCAAGCATTCCAAAATGTTTATTCTATTGGAAATATTGTTCTTTCGACCATTTGCTAATGGTCATCCATTAACATATAGCAGCTGTATAGAAAAGCCAATGTAAGTTTCTTGTTTGACTGAATCTTTTTCTCTTCATCCTCTAATGCTCAGTCCAAATTAGTTGGCGACAATACAGTGAGTATTAGTCTTTAATGCTTTTATTTGAAAGAGCTGGGGCTTACCTCTCTCTAAGTCTCTCTCCCTCTCTTCCCACAATATTATTCTTATTGAGTAGTGTTATACAGTCAATTAGATCAGTTGATCTTCTCTATGAACTGATGGCCATATGTAATTAGGAAAATGGTTAAATGGTCAGTCAAAACATTTTCTAGTAATAAATCCTCTTTATCATTCTGTAAGTTCCCATTTGTTTTTAATTAAAGCTGTGCAGGTCTCTAGTTAAGGGTCTTGAGAAGGTCGACCCAAAGAAGATGAGACGGGAAGAGAAGCTTGCCTTTTGGATCAATATTCACAATGCCTTGGTGATGCATGTATGGCTTGCAGGCTTGCAGTACTTCTATCTAGTTACTATGAAAGCCTACTGGATATGAGCCTATAAACTCAAAACCTAAATTTATCCTGTGCAATATTTTGTCTTTCTTGCAGGCTTATTTGGCATATGGAACTCAAAACTACATAAAAAGTACTTCCATCATGAAGGTAACAACGAGTCTTATTTCTTCAATCTCTTTGTAGAGGATTTATTACATAATTCTGATTGTTCCAAGTGAAAGTTCTCTCAGGCAGCTTATAATGTGGGTGGACATTGCATAAATGCTTATGACATACAAAGCTCCATTTTGGGAATCCGGCCACACTATTCTGCACCGGTATATACCTGTTGATTAATATGCCTTCACATAAATAATTGCACATGCATAAAATATGCATATAAATTTAATATGGACTCTTCGACCTTACATCAGTTGTTTGAGCTACATGCTTATATTCAATTCTCCTAAGGAGGTAAGAATGATGCTAAGTCACATGAATATTATGGTGAATCTATCTCGTAAGAAATCCGATGTAAAATTCGAATGAATAGTGTTTGTGGTGAATTCTCAAGCCTAAGTATTATTTAGGGTTTGACTGCATCTCCATAGTGACTAAACAGTTTTTGGTAAAAATGGTTGTAGAGCCAGAGTGTGAAAAAGTGAAGTCCAAGTTGACAATATTATGTGTCAATCAAATGATTATGCTATATGGATTTGACTCGATGAAATAACCTAAGATGTATTTATGAAAAATTTGGTGAGTTACGAATAATTAATATATGGACCTGATCAACTTTAATTAGGCCTAGTTGCTTGAATAAGAAATCCGTAGATTAGTTCATTGCATTAGATTAATGGCATTTCTACATGCCCAGTCATAAAATTAATGCATGCATTTGATTTTTTTTTTTTTTTTTTCCTTTTGTGTGTGTACGGTTGTCGTCACTAGCATTTATGAAATGCTAGCAACTCTAATAAACTATGATCTTACAACTGTTAAGACTCCCCGTATAACTGACCTAGTGGTTCCAAAATTTTTCTCCAAAGAAAAAGTGAATTGATAAACCAAACTGCAAAACCAATAAAAAGTTATGAACTTTAGACCATGATTACAAAATTATTGTTTTTTTTTTCTATTGATTATATTTGTTCTCTTTTCCTTTTTTTTATTCTCTATTTTTATAATCTCTCCATTTTCTTAAAAAAAATCTAATAACAAATTTTCCCCTTTTTTTTATCTATCCTCTCTTATCAAAATTTATTTAAAATTTAATGTTTAACTACATCAAAGGAGGCTAAAATATCTTTTCCTTTTTTTTATTCTCTATTTTTATAATCTCTCCATTTTCTTAAAAAAAATCTAATAACAAATTTTCCCCTTTTTTTTATCTATCCTCTCTTATCAAAATTTATTTAAAATTTAATGTTTAACTACATCAAAGGAGGCTAAAATATGCTTAAATTTTTTAAATTTTCGAAAGTTTTAAAAGCCGCGATTGGAAACTGAAGACTTAAGGCCTGTCTGATTCCCATTTTTATTAAAATATGTTTATTTTCTTTTCATTTTAACTACACATTCTTCATTAAAATAATATTACACGTAAATAAAAAAAATTCCTTATTCTTCATTCACACATTCTCCATCAATTTGCTATTCTAAAATTCATTTTTTCATAAAAATGGGTATAAAACACGGGAGATTCACTTAAGAAGCCCAGTCAAACAAAAGTTTTATTTAAAAAGACTATGAACTATCTTTTTTATTTAGATAGTATTAGGATACAAAGAAAAGGAAAATACAATTTTTAAATTACTAAAATATCCTTGTATGTAAAAGACATAATGCCCCAATTCCCCTTTCAATTTTCATTTAGCCCTATGTCAATTTTGGCTTCCTTTCTTCCACAGTTTGATCAGTCATTCTCTGTTATTCTTCTTCTTTTTTGTCATCTTCTTCTTTATGAAACCCCAAAATACACTATTGTCATTCTCTTAAACACTCACTTGGTTGAAGTAAGTAATCAAAGCTTATAATATTCTTGAGGGGTATTTGAAGAAGAAGAGAATGTAATGTTAAATTTCAATACTTTGACTACTTTCTACTTCAATATTTCTAAATCACATATTGTGATTCGTGTTTATGGTGTTCGTTTGTTAATAATGGCTTTGATTTTATTTTTTTTTATCATCGAATTATAACTTTAATATGGGTTGCTTTCCCACTTTCTCATTAGCTCTTATTTTTTAAGTGAATATGTTGGTAAAGCTATTCTATTTGTTGTTCTACTATGAAATATATATTTCATTTTTTCCTTCCAGATCGACTTACATACCGTTTTCTACAAACCATAACGACATATATCTCTTTATCAATAATGTACGAAGTTTGATATTTGATAAAAAAAAATTTACAAATTTTACGTTAATTGCAGTTATGGTCATCGTGGATATGTTATGGATTCAATTTGTTATCTAACTGAATATGAGCAGTCAGTTGAAAACGCTTGAAAATGAAAAATACAATGAATGGCAGAGGGAAAATATCGATCATTCTTGTTTGAAAAACGATTTCTTGTGTAAGCCTGTATAAAGTTAGAGAGATGTTGAAGGTCAATACAATGTTATATCAAATGGAGATGTCAACTTTTGTCTCTATAATGTCCAAGGCTCCAACTGTAAAAAAACTAGTCATGTTCGCTCCACTTGTAAATGTCAAATAGCTAGTAGTGAAACTTAAAGTTATGCTATTGTCGTGATTTGTAATTTTATTATTTTGTACTTATTGGAAGCACAAAATGATTTATTAGATTTTGTAGTCATTATGCTATTCTCGCTTTTATGATATTAAAACGAAGTTAAAGTCTTTGTACGTTGTTGTATTTTTTTTCACATTATTGACAAACGACTTTTATATCGTTATAGTGAACGCATGTGTCGTTCCAATATGAAAAATACATAGATTCATATAACGATGTTGAAATTGTTTCTAAAACATAAAAAGATATTGATGTCGTTTCAATACGAAAATTGTACTAATTACATAAAAGTATTGAAATCTTTCCTAAGACACAAAATGAAATTGATGTTGTTCCAGTATATAAATATACCACTTTATTGATTTTCATAATGACATTGAAGTTATTATGGACCAATAATATAACATGAATGTCGTTATATAAAATACTTACACAACGCACCCGACATAAGTAGCCGTTGCGCTCGCTTCCAATGGACCATTTGCTCTCGAGTGGTAATGATATTGATATCATTATATATCTATGTTGTTGTAGTTATTATTCGAATTTAAACGATTTCAAAAATATCAAATTTGTACTAAAACAATATGGACATCGTTATGTTATTTCGTTGTTTGCTACATAACGATATAATTATTATTTCAACACAATTTTAACAACATTGATATCGTTTCATTTTAAATCATAAATAAAACAACATATATATCATTTAAGTTTATATAAAAAGATATGTATATCGTTTCTGCTAAAAACAATGATTCGACGGTCCACGACCACCCGACATGTATTCGAAATATATGGGACGATTGAAATAGGTCATCAAGTAATGAATGGCATCAAGTATTCCTACAGAAACAAGTATCTTCGTTCGTTATTTCTAAATCATTTGAATGGAATCAACCCACTTGATGACATCTTTCGATCATCCTAAATTTGTTAAAGATGTGTTGAGTGGTTGTGAACGATCGAATCATTATTTTTAGTCAAAAACGATATAATTAACGTTTTATATGAAAATAAACGATATATGTCGTTATAGTTATTATTTGAATTGGAACGATTTTAAACTCGTCAAATTTGTACTAAAATGATATGAATGTTGTTACTTTATTTTTGAGTTTGATATATAACGACGTCATTATCGTTTCAATACAAGTTTGACGACGTTGATATGTTTTTAGCTTAAATCATAACTGAAACTACAAACATATTGTTGCAGTTAAAATAAAATGAAAATTATATCATTTTTGCTAAATACAATGATTCGATCGTCTACAACCCCAGGCATACATTTGACATATAAAGGATGCTCAAAATAGGTAATCAAGTTGGTTCGATCTCACTTAAAAGAAATTATGTGAATATTTCTGTTCCCATGATCGTATACAACATTCGAACTATTCCGATAAAAAGAAATATCTTCATTCGTTCTTTCTAAACCATTTGAATGGTATCAACCTACTTGATGACCTCTTTCGATCGTCCTAGGTATGTTAAAGACGTGTCAAGTGGTTGCGGACGATCGAATCGTTATTTTTAGACAAAGTGATATAATTAACATTTAATATGAAAAGAAACGATATCTATGTCGTTATAGTCATTATTTGACCAGAACGATTTCAAACTCGTCGAATTTGTACTAAAACAATATGAATGTCATTACTTTATTTGTGATTTTAATACATAACGATATCATTATCGTTTCAATACAAGTTTGACGATGTTGATATCGTTTTAACTTAAATCATACCTAAAACTACATATATATCGTTTCAGTTAAAATAAAATGACAATTATAACGTTTCTGTTAAATATAACGATTTGACCATCCATGACCACAAACTTGCATCTGACATATGAAGGATAATCAAAATAGGTAATCAAGTGGGTTCGATCTTTTCAAAAGAAACTATGAGAATATTTTTATTCTAATGATTGTATACTACCTTCGAACTATTTCGACAGAAATATCTTTATTCGCTATTTTTAAGTCATTCGAGTGGTATCAACCCACTTGATGGCCTCTTTCGATCGTTCTACGTATGTTGAAGGCATGATGAGTAGATGATCAAATCGTTATTTTTAGTCAGATCGATATAATTATCGTTTTATACGAAAAGAAATGATATTTATGTCGTTATACATGTGATTTGAATTAGAACGATTTCAAACTTGTCAAATTTGTATTAAAATGGTATGAATGTCGTTACTTTATTTGGGATTTTGATACATAACAACATCAATATCCTTTAAATACAAGTTTGACGATAATTATAAAAACGATGATTCGATCATCTACGGTCACCTGACATATATTTATCGTATGTAGGATGATAAAATAAGTCATTAAGTGAGTTCGATCTTATTCAATAGAAAGAAACATAGTATCTTCATTCGCTTTTTTTAGTCATTCGAGTGCTATCAATTCATTTGATGCCTTCTTTTGGTCATCATATGTCGTTCTAATTCTTATAAATTTTTGAAATGTAATATATATATTTTGCTCACAAAAAACAAAGGATCATGATTTGAAATAATGGTTTTAGAGTTAAAATATTTTCTTGCCATCCAAGGTTTACAAGTTCAGGGTAAATAAGTTTTTGACACTTTAAAATAATTAAAACTCCTTTTATTTTTATAAGTTCGGTGAAAGACCAATTGAACAAAGCTCCTGTTTGTCATTCATTCTCTCTCATTCTTTTTTCTATAGTACTCATTTTTAATCACATTCTTCATTAAATTAATATTATACGTAAATGAATAAATTTCCTTCTTTTTTAACCACACATTTCAATATCAATCACCAATTCCATAATACATTTTTTCAAATAACAATAAAACTATTTGTACATCTCGAATGACACTCCCCTCACAAGCGAAGAGGTCCACACGTAATAAAATAACTGTAAACCCTTTTTTGTGAGAAGAGCGTTATCCGAATTGTCCACTCCAAATGTACAAATAACAAAGTCACCCAAATAATGGGTGACAAACGAGTAAATTTAACCAATAATCACTGAACTTTACACTTGATTACTACTTGCTCACTCATCTTTCACATATTACTGAATGCTCACTCATCTTTTCATATAATTACTCATTCATCACTCGTCTCTTCAAATAATTGGGCGACTTTTACGGTAAATTTTCGACAACTTCCGACCACAAAAAATGTCGAATTTTGATACCGTTGGAAAGCCCACGATGTCCTCTTCAATTACCACCCAAAATCTCATTATAATTCCAAGGGATTCGATCGAAAAATTGCCTTAAAAGTTGCCCAAAATTTTTGAAAATCTGCCCAGATTTTCAAATTTTTTGACGACTTTTAAGGCAATTTTTCGGCAACTTTCGACCATCAACACTATCGAATTTTGATACCATTGGAAAGCCCATAATGTCCTCTTCAATTACCATCCAAAATTTCCCTGAAAATGTTGTGTGTGTTAGAATATGAATGTATAGTTATTAAAACCAACCCGATGATTGACTAAAAAAAATCACTGGGTCAATGCTTCAACCGGTGGGTTATTGTTAAATTTTATTTATGAAGTGAAAGGGACATAATTTTTTGAAGGCGAAAATCTGGACAAAGTTCGGGATGCTGACTTTGTGAGTTTATTCCGATCGAATCCTTTGGAGTTATCGGGAAATTTTGGGTGGTAATTGAAGAGGACATTTTATCTCAGGGTAAATAAGTTTTTGACACTTTAAAATAATTAAAACTCCTTTTATTTTTATAAGTTCGGTGAAAGACCAATTGAACAAAGCTCCTGTTTGTCATTCATTCTCTCTCATTCTTTTTTCTACAGTACTCATTTTTAATCACATTCTTCATTAAATTAATATTATACGTAAATAAATAAATTTCCTTCTTTTTTAACCACACATTTCAATATCAATCACCAATTCCATAATACATTTTTTCAAATAACAATAAAACTATTTGTACATCTCGAATGACACTCCCCTCACAAGCGAAGAGGTCCACACGTAATAAAATAACTGTAAACCCTTTTTTGTGAGAAGAGTGTTATCCGAATTGTCCACTCCAAATGTACAAATAACAAAGTCACCCAAATAATGGGTGACAAACACACCCAAAATGTGTTTTAGCGCTCGCTTGCCAACTCATTTCCCCATAAAACACCAAGGGTAAGAAAAAGAAATTATTTCTATTTTGTACAGCAGTATATACGTCTTTCTCCTTTTGAGAGGCTGTACCGTAAACAGCCTGGTATAAAGAGAACAAGCACAAGAACAGGACTTTTTTGTGTCAATTGTTAAAGCACACCGGTGTATTCGGATCAGTTGAGGACATGGTAACTTTGTTTTTATAATTTTTCTTTTCCAATTTATTTCATTTTCTGACTGATTTCTGTTTAAATTTCTGCACGAAAACTTTGTTATCGATTTGGGATTTCTAGTGAAGATTTCATAATTTTGTTTAATCTATTCGTTCAACACTTTGGATATACAAGTTTGTGAATCTGACGGATTAGCGTCCTTGAGATCGTTCTGGATCTACATATTCTTTAGTCATGTAACTCATGTTTGAGATTGGACCTTAAAGGAAATTTGTATGACCTAGAAAACACATTTGTACGTTGAACTTTCTCTAGGTAGTTCACACAGAATTTCAAAATTTACTTTAAAATAAGCAACTTTTCTCTAAATTAAATATTTTACCTTAAAGGATTAGAATTTACAAATAAAAATATACTTAAAAATTAACTTTCTAATTACATCTCTTCTTAATTAAACTGAAACATACCCCAAATCCTTTTATTTTGCAAAAATTAACTTTCTAATTACATCTCTTCTTAATCAAGCTGAAACACACTCCAAATCCTTTTATTTTCCCCCCCCAAAAAAAAAAAAAAAAAAAAAAAAATAGAGTGAGAGAGAACCATGGGAAAGTCAGGATGCTTTCAATAATCGGTTGAGTTAGTGAGCAGTTTCAACCAGGTTCATTCATGTCTAAACTAATGAAAGCATCTAAAGTATTTACATGATGATTTTACTTATTATGTTGCTTTTGTTTAGCACATCATTTCCACTTCATAACAAATACTGATACCATAGCTATTCTACTAGATAATACCTGGTAGATAAAATCTAGATTAACATTACTAGAAGTACTCAAAATAAATTGTCCTTGATAAGATAATTTAGTGTCTCTTTTGTAAAAGTTAATTCCGAAGCAAAATCTTCAGTTTTTCATTCCTTCGTTTATTACAGTTGAAGAGTGACTAAAGCTTCTAGTTTTATTTCAGATTCACTTTGTTCTTCTTATTAGCCGGCAGGGGAAAGTGAGGTTAACAAAATGGTATTCACCTTATTCTCAAAAGGAAAGAACCAAGGTATTAACCTTTTTCTTGTGAAATTTGAAAATGATACTTCTATTGTAGTAAGATATTCTTTCAAACTAGATCTAAACTGATGCAAGGTTCTGCACTTCTTGCTATACTTACTTTTATTAGAAAATAAATTTTCTGTGTTAATTTGCATTTCTCAATGATTGACAATATTGCATATTATCTTTTATTTACTAAAGGTTATTCGGGAGCTTAGTGGCACAATTCTCTCTCGAGGTCCTAAACTCTGTAATTTTGTGGAGTGGAGGGGGTATAAAGTTGTCTATAAAAGGTGTTGTGTCATCTACATTTAGTTTAGAGTTTGTTTCTGCTATTATAATTTTTCAACAACTTGTATTTTCTTTTCCTGCTTTCCTCTTATTATTGGCATAATCGAATAATCATTCTTTTCCTTTCCTGTACTTGTACAGATATGCCAGCCTTTATTTCTGCATGTGTATTGACCAGGATGATAATGAGTTGGAGGTCCTTGAAATTATCCACCATTTTGTTGAGATACTTGACCGATATTTTGGGAGTGTGAGTCCTGAGATACTTTGAAGCATTACAAGAGTAGGAATTGGTTTAAATCGTGTTTGTATACTAAATACTTCTTCTTCTTCTTCTTTGTTCCATTAGGTGTGTGAGCTGGACTTGATCTTTAATTTCCATAAGGTACAATTCTTTGTTCTGAGTTGAACTTTATACAATGAGGAATCTCAATAGTCTGTCACTGGATTAAAAAAAAAAATCTTGAGTCCATGTATTCGAGGAGTAGAATTGGACTGACATTGCATAGAAAGGAAAGATGATGGAATTATTTGGGCCTGTTTCTTTCTAAGTGTTATGGAATTGAACAGTGTGTTTCCATACTTGCTCTGGGTAATGGAATGGCAATAGTGTGTCACTGGTGACTTCCATAATCCTTTTTTGGGCCGTAGATTACAGTAGCTAGATTTCTTTGTTTGATGAATATGAACTGGCAGCTGGCTTGGTCAGAGTCTCAGGGTAATGCATCACCTAGCCAGCGTTACCTATCTTATTCTAACAAAGGTTTTAGTGCCATGTATAAAATGGCTCAGCTTGATTGAGTGTCAATGCTGTTTACCTTCATGAGGCTAGGTGTTTTGCCAATTAATAAAATTATTCAAAAGAATATAAAAATACAAGATTATGCTCATAAGAAACCATAAACCATCTTGAAAGTCTATAATTAAACAAATTAACAAAATAAAATATAACTTCCAAACGAACATAAAATAAATCAATAACTTAGCAAATAATAAGTTCTCAAATTGGTAATCACATAACAAAACTGTAATCTACTGCTAGATATAAAAATGACCTAGATGTGTCCCATATCATTTCTTAATTGGATGCTTAAAAGAAATGTCAAACATATTTGATTTTCCTATCATTCTTCTCATTACCATCATTGTCTTTCCATTCCTTGTCATCTGCCTTCACTTGCAATGGTGTTTTCTCTTCCCTTTACCTTTCCACATAGAGGCACAAAAAAAGGGTAGAACATTCTATTTTATAAGAAAATAGTCCCAATAATTGAATCTAGTAATAAAAAGTCTAGGAAAAGCAAGACAAATAAGTGTACACCTTTTTTTTTTTTTTTTTTGATAGGTACAAATAAGTGTACACCTTGGCACCCCTAAGGCTAAACTTTGAGGCAGATGCACTCAAGGTATAAGCTTCGAGGCATATAATGCTAGCCTCACTTGCAGCACACCTTAAGGTTTAAGCCTTAGACAACTTTTTTCTTAACAATGATTTAGTGTTATTTTCAGGCTAAGATAGTGGTGGGATCTCTAATAAGACATGTGCAACATCTACGTCATAGTACAAATCTCATAAATTTTCTTGCCATATCTATGTACTAAGTTGTGTGCCTGTGCGTCTCCTTTAAAATATCCTTATGTTTTTTTGCTTATAATTAGATAATGAACATCATTTTTGTCTTTATCATTTGATAATGCTTAACGTAATGTTAAATGTTTTAATTTATCATACGCTTCCATTCTGTTAACCAATTATGATATGTTCATTAGGTTTTGAGATTTAATTGGAATATGATTTGTCGGTTCAAACTCTCTTTAAAATTAACTAACATTCTCATAATTTTTTAATTGAAAATTTGTAGGAATGTCACTCAGTTCATTCTTACATTAATTATATAGTTGGCCTTAATAAAGATTGAAAACATGAACTGATGAGCAATAACTGAAACGTCTTATGAAATGCAGTGACAATCACTTTACTATAATTAGGAGAATAATTATTGATTAGTTATATATTTTGCGGATGTACTTGTGCAGTTGTATAACGTGTTACAATATCTGCTAGTTGTACAATGACTAGTTGTTACGTTTTCTTGACATCTTTAGCCGTGGTTGAGATTACAAGCATATGGTAGAAGAGTAAACATGATCTTATTCATTTATCCGCACTTAAAATCTCCTATGTCGAAATCTTATTCATTTATCTGTGCTTAAAATCTCCTATGTCGAAAGTTATGCCTTAAAATATGGTATAAAGCTGCTGGGGAAACACTAAACCCTTTCCCACAATCATTGTTTTGGAAGCAATGGGATAAGGCAAAGCAATTTTACCTCCTCTGGGTGGAGAGTATGGTTTCACGAGCTCTCAATTTAAATGTTATACAGAATTCAAATAAAAAATATACAATAATACAAATGAAGTGAAGGAAAGATTGTGGAAATTCCTAGTCAGAAAATATCTTAGTGAGGATATGCAATGCTTACCTATAAAAACAGTTCTAACTTCTAACTAGACATTAGAGATAAAATCAATTCCTAACTGCAAGCATGTTACACCAAAGTTGATAACAGGCTAGTTTAACTTGGTTGCTATATAAAAACAGAATGGTCTGAACTCTGAAATACTTCATCATCAAATTCTTACTCCAAATTCTCTTTTTCCTTGAAGTATCTAAAACCGGTATTTTATATTCATAGACAACCTCAAAGTCCACTTCATATAATTCCTCTTGTTTGCAACATTAGGTTAGAGTTTGGAATTGTGAACATAAGCTAATGTTATTAACCGTTTGATAAGATTATTTTCATTTAGCTGGAAATTAGTGGACTCACATCTTAATCATAAATAATCTGACAGAGTAACAGTGAAGGTACCGATACTGTCATACTCTTTTGCGTTTGATAGGAAATTGGAGTGCGCTTATTTTACTTTAATTTAATACTACCTTAAGAGATGAAACACTAGTTTTATTATCCCTAATAACCCAAAACCCCCTTAAAGAAGTAAATCCTGTTGGGCCTTTTGTCTCAATATTGTGGCATAGAAGGCGTGTCTCAACATTTTGTGATGCTACAAAGCAAAAACTTAAGAGATGAAACACTAGTTTTATTATCCCTAATAACCCAAAACCCCCTTAAAGAAGTAAATCCTGTTGGGCCTTTTGTCTCAATATTGTGGCATAGAAGGCGTGTCTCAACATTTTGTGATGCTACAAAGCAAAAACTGTGCACCTCATAGGAAATATTTCGTCCTCAAATGTCCCGAGGCAATCTTATGTGACTCAGCCAAGGTGTGCCTCATAAATGCCTTTGGAACCCTTCTCACAAGGGATTAATGTGTTCTTTCATAAAAGTGCTGCAGTGTTTTGCCTGGGTTAGGTTATATAGCTGCTCACGGAATATTTACATGTAGCTCGCCCTTATAGCTTATGGGGCACTTCACTGGCTAGGGAAAGAAGAAGGATAGAGAAATAGGAAAGGAGTGGACCATCGTTGGAAAAATATGGGAAAGATGAGGATATAATGGTCGAAGGATATTCAACGGACCTCTTCATAGTCCATTCATTAGGGTTGGGGATGAATGAAACCAATCATAAGTGCAAATCACGACAGCGAAGCTGGGAACCTAGCAATAGTAACTTTGTTGGAGTAAGATTTTTTTCTTTGAGATGGAGAATGCCAAGATGAGTATGATGCGTCAAGTAGTGTTAATATTTGACCCTACATATCTATTCTGAGGATTAAATATTGCAGAAATTTTGTTTTTCTTTGTTAGGCTTTAGGTTTAGGAGTTTCAAAATTACCACTCGTTTGTAGCCAGATTAAAATCATTTTTTATTTTCTTTCCTTTGACACCTCATTTCCATGCGTGCTAAACTGTGATTAAGTCACTTGGGAAAGAAACATAATCACTATTATTTTTATTTGAGTATGTCTAGTAATCAAATGAAACCCTGCAATTTCTTCTTGATAATGAAATTTGATAAGATATTATTTTGTTCGCCACTTGTTTTTCTTTCTATGAAGCAATTCTATCATTGTTTCAGTTTTGTAATTCAATTACTTGCAAGTAGCTCTGAAATTCTTGGGTCGCTAGTGATCTGAGAACAAAGTTTTGTACATGCTGTAGCCCATATTAGTTGTTTACCCACTTGTTGCTCTTTGTTTTGCCATTTGTGTTATTTCTGACAAGTGGAGTCACAGGCTTATTACATACTGGATGAAATTCTAATAGCTGGTGAACTTCAAGAATCAAGCAAGAAAACAGTTGCACGTTTAATAGCTGCTCAGGTATGGCTGTTTTACAGTTTTATAATGCAATACAGCTTCATAGGAATTTATAGCTGAATTTCTATACTATTTGTTTGTAGGATTCTTTGGTGGAGCAGGCCAAGGAACAAGCTGGTACTATAAGTAATATGATTGCTCAGGCAACAAAGTGAGATGTTTCATGGATTTGGTTCAATTTAATCACTCTTGTACTAATTATAGCTCAAAGGTTGATATTTACCTTTATTAAACCTTCGTACAAGTGAAATTTTATGTTTCATACCTGTGTTTTTTCTTCTGTTAAACACTTTTAAGGAAAGTTTTTGACTCCATATAAATGGCTCCTGGATGGGACTATTTAAGTGTCTTTTTCGTATTTGTGCCTTCTACTATAGGGCTCACATAGATCTATGGTAATAACTGGAAAAGCATATTGTACATATTTGGAATTGAGAAAGTTTTGACTGTTTTGGACTCCCTATAAATGGCTCCTGGATGGGACTATTTAAGGGACTGTGTTATTTTCATATCTGTGACTGCTGCCATGGTGCTCGCATAGTTCTAGTAAGAAAAATGAAACACATAAGTTACTTATTTGGGATTGAGAAAGTTTAGACTGTTTTGGAGTCCTTATAAATGGCTCCTGGATGGGACTAGTGATATCTTCATATTTGTGCCTGCTGCTATAGTGCTCATTTAGTTCTATGGTAAGAACTCAAAATGCATACTTCTCTTATTCGGGGTTGAGAAAGTTGACTGTTTTGGACTCCCTATAAATGGCTCCTGGATGGGACTATTTAAGGGACTTTATTTTCATATTTGTGCTGCTGTAGTGCTCGCATAGTTCCATGGTAAGAACTTAAAATACACATGTTTTTTATTTGGGGTTGAAGAAATTTGACTGTTTTGGACTCCCTATAAATGGCTCCTGGATGGGACTATTTAAGGGACTTTATTTTCATATTTGTGCTGCTGTAGTGCTCGCATAGTTCCATGGTAAGAACTTAAAATACACATGTTTTTTATTTGGGGTTGAGAAAGTTTTGACTGTTTTCGATTTCTATAAATGGCTCCTGGATTGAATTTTAAGGGAAAGTGTCATTTTCATATTTGTGTCTGCTGTCGTAATTCTCTTGGATGGGACTATATGGTTACATCATTTACATGTGGAACCTCTGCTTCAGCAACTTGAATTCATTAGTGGTTAACCAGATTTTACATTGGATTTTGGTATGATGCTTCTAATATTGATTTATAAGTTGATAAGAATTATGGACTGTAGAAAGAATTTTCAGTGACTGACCAAGAAGAATTTCAAGCAGATTAAGAATATCAAGTTGAAGTGTGTAGTCTATATACAGGGTCTGAGAAAGATTGATGATGCAAAATTGCCTGTAATATCGAATATGAATTTCAGCTGGCATTTTTGTATATGAATCTCTCAATTGGATAGCAGGTCATTCTCTTGGAAGTGGATCTTAGACTGACTTCGTTTAAGTATTTCGAAAGTTGGAATTGCCATACTATGAGTGCCATGAATGTGAACAGGTTCCTTTGTCTCGTGGTCTAGAAGGGTTGTCTTGCACCCTTTGATCTTCACGATTGCGATGAGGGGATGACCATTTGGGTTGTGTGGGTAATGAAAGAGTTTGGAGTTGCGGAAACATGGCCAAAGGAGTATAAAATGTGTAAACTAATGATAAAGAAATCTGGTCGATAGGCTTTACCAAGAACAATGAGATTATGATTATAGAGTGAGGACCAAAAATTGTATATAACTTTGAGAAAAAGTGAAGTAGATATCTAGAATTTGATATTGAAGCTGACGTGAATTCTTTAGTTAGTTATGTTGAAAGTTTGGTGTTGCTTGTCGGAAAAAAATGAATTATAGGAAAAATGAAGATCATTGGAATGACATCTTCACGAAATTCTTTGTGCATGGACTAAGGAGAAAACAAGTGGCTAATCTTCTTATTTTTTACATTTTCTAGTTGATAATCTTCTACTCTGTACATAATTTTGATGAATCTTTGGCTTCTGTCTTCTTATCGTTTAACGACTTGAGAAAACTAATCATCAATCTAAGCCCTTGTTTGAGCCCCATTTTAGGGGAGGAATGAATTTTTGAATAGTGTATTGATGGGAAATGTGTGGTTATAAAATATGGAAAAGTTTTGAATTTGCGTGTAATATTATTTTATTGAAAAATGTGTGGTAGAAATGATGTTAAAATACTGTTAAATAATGCATTTTTTTCAAAAGAATGGGGCTCAAATGAACTATTTGTACCAGTGGATTGATATAGCAGATTACAGTTATATTATCTTAGTATACTAATTGCATTTTTCACGAGCCTCAACAGTTATATACTATTTACAAGCCTTTACAGAGATTTCAACAAGTTTACTATTTGAGAGAGATGTTTTTGTTTATCTAACTTTAATCTTCAACGCCCTCTCACTGCAGCGAGATTCATTTTTCATCATAATTCTTACATGAAAACTATCTTCATAGATGACCTGTGATTTTTACTTGCGTGATATCATGTCCATTTTTGTCTTCCCAACTGTGTTTCAAGTTCAACTGTCTTTGAGTTTCTAGGGGTGCTGGGCGAGGGTGATTAGTACTGAAAATTTTGTAAAATAAATGAGTGGAGCCTCAAATGCTACAAATATTGCAATTTGGTGATCCAATTACAAGAAAATAAATCTCTCTCCCCAATGCACTTGTAGAAAAAGTTATCAACAACGCTTTTGATGTTCAACACATTTTTGTCCTCGATCAAACAACTGATGCTAGCCCTTATTGTGTCAATAATTTACTTTATTCAACTCAATGCCAAGCCTGGAGTCGTTCCTCCATCTCCTTCACTTGCGAGGACATGTTAGGTGTGTTAATACAAATTCCCTATTGGAGAAATGCTATTTGGCCAGGGTTTGTGCAAATGACCTTGGCCAAATAGCATTTCTCTTCCTATTGAGATTAGGAAAGTGTTGGTTTTTCAGGTAGAGAGGTGTTGAGAATTGTTACACGGACAGATTATTCCCAGTCAATAATGATGGAAATTTTGTAAACAATTTGATGGAGACATTCATTGAAGAATCAGAAGATTTTACTCTCGTGTATTAATACCCATTCTCATGGAAAATTGATCATTAAACTATTACTAGTTAAAGTTGAGGCTAGATTACCAACAATTCCTTGAACGAAATCAGTGAACTTTGTGGGTCCACTCATTCTCCATGTAGACCATCATGGAAAATGCATGCCCTTTACATAAAGGACGGGCTGTTCACTTTTGAATATTTAGCTACTTAAGTACTACTCATAACGTAAAGGCTCCAAGCCGGGATGTCTAGCGGAATGCTTGGCCTCTTGTGCTGGAAGCAACACCCGAAGGGTGAGCTTACTGTTATACTGATTGAGAGTAGAATCATACATAGATGACTATTGACTCATCTGTTGTGCATTCATTCTTACAAGAGCAAAACTAGGTTTTTAAAGCGTGCATTTTGCTTCCCCTCGCTGGTGCTAGGTTCTTTAATTTTTTGTTATTTTACGAACAAGAATACCTACTGGTTGAATATGCTCTTAAGAAGTTGAAACCTAGAAAAAATAAAAAATAAAATTGGGCTTGTCATATAAATCGGGTTGTATCACTGCGTCCTGTTCATTGCTTTATCAACACAGAATGATGGGAAGTAACTCTGTTTGTGTAAGGAAAAATCAAGAATTTAAATATTTTTACCAAATCATTGGTGCATAGTACAAAATTTACTGACTATATTTTACTATTTACTTCTATGGATAACACAAATTTATTGATCAGACAAAAGAATTTGGGACAATGCTTGTAGGCATGATGAGCTGGTGAATCTTATCATCTGCCATCCCCGAATGATATGGAGTTTTGAAGATCATCTGAAGGAACCCAATCCAAGGAGGATGAAAGAATCTTTGAAAGAACCATGAAAACATCAGCTACCGTGAGACGTGAATTGAGATCATGAGCTACGCAATTCTTAGCAAGTTCGGCCATGGAGTATGCCAGCTCTGTTGGATACCCTTTCCCGAGTCGAGGATCCATGAACTGTCGTAGTTTCCCTGCAACATTCTCCCCTTCGAGTACCTCATTTATGTATGCAGACAATAATTCTCCTTCTTTGTTGCTGTCTTTAGCAGCAATGGCTTCCTTTCCAGACATGAGCTCCAAAAGCACCACCCCAAATGAAAAGACGTCGAGTTTTGGAGTGATCAATCCATTCTCAATGTATTCGGGAGCCATATACCCGTAAGTGCCCACGACATGCCGGGTCATTACAGGTACGCTATGATCATGGTCCGAACTCCTGGCCAAACCGAAATTGGCAACTTTCACCCTCATGTTACTGTCCAAAAGGACGTTGCTGCTCTTCAAGTTCTTGTGGATATACGGTGGATTGGTGAAGTTGTGCAGGTAATTCAAGGCATTAACAATGTCGTATGCAATTTGAACTCTGTGTTTCCAATCAAGAATCCCAGTTGAATTATTGGAATCTTCGTGCTGCATCTTATTGTTTTGTAGCCAATCACTGAGGGAACCATTCTCGGCGTACTCATACACAAGGTAGGTAATTCCTTGGTGCAAGCAGAAACCAGAAAGCCTAATGATGTGGGAATGATTAATTTGCCGGAGCACGTCTATTTCGTGCGATACATCTCCCTTCATTACCTTAACTGCAGCGTCGTCGCCCTTGAATGAACCCCGGTACACCGATCCATTGATTCTGTTGGCTTCTGCGAATGATCCGGTGGCCGTTTGCAGGTCCCCGAATTTGTACACTGTTAGAGTTTCGATTGCATTTCGTATCCCTTCAGATGAGACCGACCAGGAAGCAGGTTGCGCCTCTACAGATTCATTGTTAAGTTTCTTAATCATGGATGGTGGCGTTGAGGAAGATTGGTGCCTACGGGCACGGCGGTGGCGGAAGAACAAAGCCACGGAGATTAAGACTAGGAGTAAAACAGCAGCACCAATTCCAACGCCGATGAAAACCCACTTGCGGGAAGAGCCACCACTTTGGTCAGAGGGGGTGGTGGGTGGCGGCGGTGGAGGCGGCGGCGGTGGAGGCAGGATATTGATATTTTCCTTGGTGGGTTCTTCTGTAAGCGGTACTAAAATCGGTGTAAAGAAAAAGATACGGTCGTTTTCTGATAGGTTATTGGCATTGAGGATCCCCGGGACATCAGCACCGGCGCCGGAAAATGCATCGGCTATATAACGGTATGAATCCCCCAGCCGAATTAGGTAAGTGAGCAGATAATTGAAGCCGGCGGCCGTCTGGTTCGCAGTGGGACAAGCGCACCAAAGCGGAACATTGAGTCTCATATTCACCACCAAATCACGAAAACCGTCAGGATTATTAGCTTCCATGGCCTGGCAGCTGGTTAAAGCCTGGTAAGTATCATTCGCAATAATGAAATACGTCTCGCCCTGGATCTGGATAGTGTACGACGTGTTGTGCTGGTACCTCGAATCGGAGCCGGAGCAGGAACAATTGACGGGAACGACAACGAGTGTGTCAACAGGGAGCACACCAACATCGGTAATATTATTGATTTGCGCAATTTCAGATGCGTCGGCGGCGAGGAGGTTGGCGATGGTGATGGCGCTGTTGTAGGTAAGAGTAGATCGGAAAGTGAGGTAAGAGCGGCAGGAAGTGGCGACGCCATTGCAAACATAACCAAGAGTTGTGGTGTCGTTCTGCTGGCAGTTAAGCTGTCTGTTGTTGACATAGCTCTGTTGGCCCTGCAATTCAGGGAACTGAACAAGAAGAAGAAGCAACAAGAGTACAAATGACCACCAATAATCCGCCATTTTTTGCTACGCAATTCTTAGCAAGTTCGGCCATGGAGTATGCCAGCTCTGTTGGATACCCTTTCCCGAGTCGAGGATCCATGAACTGTCGTAGTTTCCCTGCAACATTCTCCCCTTCGAGTACCTCATTTATGTATGCAGACAATAATTCTCCTTCTTTGTTGCTGTCTTTAGCAGCAATGGCTTCCTTTCCAGACATGAGCTCCAAAAGCACCACCCCAAATGAAAAGACGTCGAGTTTTGGAGTGATCAATCCATTCTCAATGTATTCGGGAGCCATATACCCGTAAGTGCCCACGACATGCCGGGTCATTACAGGTACGCTATGATCATGGTCCGAACTCCTGGCCAAACCGAAATTGGCAACTTTCACCCTCATGTTACTGTCCAAAAGGACGTTGCTGCTCTTCAAGTTCTTGTGGATATACGGTGGATTGGTGAAGTTGTGCAGGTAATTCAAGGCATTAACAATGTCGTATGCAATTTGAACTCTGTGTTTCCAATCAAGAATCCCAGTTGAATTATTGGAATCTTCGTGCTGCATCTTATTGTTTTGTAGCCAATCACTGAGGGAACCATTCTCGGCGTACTCATACACAAGGTAGGTAATTCCTTGGTGCAAGCAGAAACCAGAAAGCCTAATGATGTGGGAATGATTAATTTGCCGGAGCACGTCTATTTCGTGCGATACATCTCCCTTCATTACCTTAACTGCAGCGTCGTCGCCCTTGAATGAACCCCGGTACACCGATCCATTGATTCTGTTCGCTTCTGCGAATGATCCGGTGGCCGTTTGCAGGTCCCCGAATTTGTACACTGTTAGAGTTTCGATTGCATTTCGTATCCCTTCAGATGAGACCGACCAGGAAGCAGGTTGCGCCTCTACAGATTCATTGTTAAGTTTCTTAATCATGGATGGTGGCGTTGAGGAAGATTGGTGCCTACGGGCACGGCGGTGGCGGAAGAACAAAGCCACGGAGATTAAGACTAGGAGTAAAACAGCAGCACCAATTCCAACGCCGATGAAAACCCACTTGCGGGAAGAGCCACCACTTTGGTCAGAGGGGGTGGTGGGCGGCGGCGGTGGAGGCGGCGGCGGTGGAGGCAGGATATTGATATTTTCCTTGGTGGGTTCTTCTGTAAGCGGTACTAAAATCGGTGTAAAGAAAAAGATACGGTCGTTTTCTGATAGGTTATTGGCATTGAGGATCCCCGGGACATCAGCACCGGCGCCGGAAAATGCATCGGCTATATAACGGTATGAATCCCCCAGCCGAATTAGGTAAGTGAGCAGATAATTGAAGCCGGCGGCCGTCTGGTTCGCAGTGGGACAAGCGCACCAAAGCGGAACATTGAGTCTCATATTCACCACCAAATCACGAAAACCGTCAGGATTATTAGCTTCCATGGCCTGGCAGCTGGTTAAAGCCTGGTAAGTATCATTCGCAATAATGAAATACGTCTCGCCCTGGATCTGGATAGTGTACGACGTGTTGTGCTGGTACCTCGAATCGGAGCCGGAGCAGGAACAATTGACGGGAACGACAACGAGTGTGTCAACAGGGAGCACACCAACATCGGTAATATTATTGATTTGCGCAATTTCAGATGCGTCGGCGGCGAGGAGGTTGGCGATGGTGATGGCGCTGTTGTAGGTAAGAGTAGATCGGAAAGTGAGGTAAGAGCGGCAGGAAGTGGCGACGCCATTGCAAACATAACCAAGAGTTGTGGTGTCGTTCTGCTGGCAGTTAAGCTGTCTGTTGTTGACATAGCTCTGTTGGCCCTGCAATTCAGGGAACTGAACAAGAAGAAGAAGCAACAAGAGTACAAATGACCACCAATAATCCGCCATTTTTTAAGAATAAGCACTGCAATTTTTCAAACTTATATAAACACACAATCAGACAGAAAAGATTGGGTTTTGATGTGATGGGGCTAAGAATTATTCAAATTTATAACAAAATCAAATGTAAACTACGTAGAAACCCATGAAATTTGAATGTGATTGGTCAAGAAATTCTGTTAGGAAGGTAACGACATTGTCAAGATTAGTTGCGGTCGAATTTTCAAACAGGTTGTCTTCGTTGACTCGTATCTTTAATTATCTGATTTATATATTTTCCCATCGAAACTCCAATTTAAAAATTATAATTGTTTTGTAATGGTTGAGGAGTCTTTGTTTTATATTGTTCAGCTTATGTTTTTCGGGTTTTTAACGTTAATTATTGGTTATATACTCTAATATTTTTGAGTAAGAGTAAGTTTACATTTTAAGGATTGAAGCTCGTTTTGTGGACATTTTGTCTAAAATTTAAAATTTTGAAGTTCTTGTATGTTAATACGAGTTCCTATGTACATGATTTGTAAGTTCACATTTGATGATCGAATGTGCTAGCAACGTTGGAATTCAAGCTCGAGACTTTATATGATTAATTGCACGAATGGCTATTGAAGTTAGCACTTAATGTTACTTTAGTCATTGAACTAAAATTTATTTCAAAAAGGTCTAAATTTATTTTTAAAATGTCACTATAGATGATCGCTGATGTATCGTTGTTACATTGTTCAATAAACAAAATTTGCATTTCAATTTTATAATATTGTGCCTGCTACAATATAAATTAGACGAATATTATTACTATTATGAAATGTTTCATTAGACCACTGATTGAGTTTGACATTCGTATTTTAACTGATTATTTTTTACATTTGTGCTTCAAGTCAATAAAATTGTTAATATTTTCAATTAAATCTTTTGACTTGGCATATAGGATATTAAAATGTTGAGTTATAAAATAAACGTCAAACTAAATCAGTGTTTATAAATTAAAGTTTAATGACCAATTTAACATGAAGTTCAAAGTTCGATGACTGTTACTGAAGTTAGCCCAACATCATACAGTCCCATGCCCCCATTATCATGTGTATGTTTTGTTGAGAAAAAAAATTAATAAAATAATCAGCAACAAGAATCTACTAAAATGGAAGGCTTGAATAAGATTATAAATCACTGTCCTCAAACGATATTTGTTGCCACAGAGCTAAATGGTTGAAGGTTTTAAAAGGCAAATAGTTTGTAGGAATAATCAAACATTAATCCAAAGTTTGAATAAAGCAAAACAAACTTGAAAAGGGAACTTTAAAAAACAATATATAAAACTTGGTTTAATCTTTGATTTTGGATATAAGCGGATCAATTTGATATTTAATGATATGTTTTCCAACATGAAAACTATCCTATTTATAAATCATCAATCATCATGTATGAAAAGGTGTCAAAATCAAGCCAAAAATGTGTAAAGATCGATGAAAAAACACCAGAATTCAAAATCCCAATGGAAATATTTTTGTCCTAGCGGCTGCCCAGTCGAAAACCAAGCGCCCGCCTAGTTTATTAAATTTGCATCTTTAATTGCAATGCAAGGCTAGGCGATCTCCCAGGCCATTTTTCGGCCTTCAACATTTTTTGTTCTCGTTTTGTTTCCTTGTTTTTCTCATGGTTGATTGCTTTTATCATTTTCAAAATGACTCTTCATTGTTAATTTGAATAATATCCAATAATCCCCCATTTCTTCAAATATAAAACCATTTCTTCAAATATAAAACAAGTGCAAACTCAAGATCAGCGACACCTATGCATAGAATATGTATATCTTTCGATTTAAATCCAACCTTAGCATAAATCTCACAAAAGATATCATCGAAATATTAGGTAACATGAAATCTTTGAACCGATTATTTCTTGTAAGGATACCGGTGAAGTCACACGCAAGCATCAAGTTTTTCAAGTTTCACACAATCTCGTTTAGCTGGCAATTAAGCTGTCTGTTGTTGGCATAGCTCTGTTGGCCCTGCAATTCAGGGAACTGAACAAGAAGAAGAAGCAACAAGAGTACAAATGAACGCCAATAGTCCGCCATTTTCGAAGAATAAGCTCTGCAATTTTTCAAACTTATGTAAACAAACAATCAGACAGAAAAGATTGGGTTTTGATGTGATGGGGCTAAGAAATATTCAAATTTATAACCAAATCAAATGGCAAACTACATAAACACGTGAAATTTGAATGTGATTGGTCTGGAAATTGTGAAAGGAACGTAACGACATTTTCAAGATTAGTTGCGGTCAAATTTTTAAACAGGTTGTCTTCATTGGCTTGCATCATCTTTAATTATCTGATTTGTATATTTTCCTGTTGAAAATCCAATTTTTTGAAGTGGGATTTTGATCTTTTGAATGTTCTTGATCGAGATTTTTTAATTGATCGTCGGTTAAAAATTATAATTGTTCTGTAATGATTGACGAGTTTTTGTTTCATATTGTTGAGCTTATGTTTTTGGGTTTTTAACATTATTTATTGATTATAAGAAAAATCTACTTGTAGAGAATTTTTGAACGTAGGAGTGTCCACACCCCTCACATGAAGTGGGGCCCACCTCGCGCAAACCCTATCCCATATGAGGTGTGTGGATACCCTTATGTACTAAAATTATATACCTTTAACATAGTCATTTTGTCTAAAATTTAAAATTTTGAAGTTCTTGTATGTTAATACAAGTTCCTATATACATGATTTGTAAGTTCTCTACGTTATTTGGTTCTTGATGATCAAATGTGCTAGCAACCTTGGAATTCAAGCTTGAGAGGTGATAGGATTAATTGTACGAATGGCTATTGAAGTTAGCACTTAATGTTACTTTAGTCATTGAACTTAAATTCATTTCAAAAAGGTCACTACAGATGGTCACTGGTCTATCGTTGTTACATTGTTCAATAAACAAAATTTGCATTTCAATTTTATAATATCGTGCCCGCTACAATATAAATTAGACGAATATTATTGCTCTTACAAAATGTTTCATTAGACCACCGATTGAGTTTGACATTCCTTTTTTAACTGATTATTTTGTACGTTTGTACGTCAAGTCAATAAAATTGTTAATATTTTCAATTAAATATTTCGACTTGGCACATAGGATATGCAAGTGAAACCGAAGAAGATAAGTTGGATGAGTATAGGACAAAACAGTCGTCAAACTCTATGGGCATGTGTAGAGCCTTTTTGCGAGCTTGAAGTTTCTTGCGCTCATCAACTAAGTGGCCTTCCTCCTTACAAAATTTGCGCACACATTTCGAGAGGAAGAAGATTGCGGATATGTGTACTGTGCAGTGTAGTGGTGGATTGAGTATTCTAGATGTTGGGTTTTTTTCTATAAATTAGGTTGAATTTTTAAGAAAATATTTTTTTCTTTTATTCCACATGATTTTTTATTTTGTTTCCATATTTGTGGTAATTCTTGAGTTTGGCATACGTCCCTATATATACTAGAATTTTTTCATAAGTTTTGTATTATTAAAATAAAGAATAATTGTGTATGCATAATGATTGTGTTTGTTTTCTCCATATTAGTTAATTGAATAAAATATTTTGTTTCTCTGCCAATTAATTTTTACTTTTTATCTTATAGTTTGTTTACGATCGGACTATTGGTGTGAGCTGTTGGAATCAAAATAGGAAATACAACCAATCAATGTAAATCCCCATCATCAAGGGGTCAACCATGATTCTTGGCACCAATTTTGTATAGCCTAAATAGGACACATATTTTTCCTATATATATGTACACCATTCAATGGAATAAAATATAAGAGAGAAAATTGCTTACCGTTTTATCATGGTAGCAGAGCAAAATACCAATCCAGAGCACATCCTCTATCAAACATTCATACCCCTCTTCTTGTAAACCTTTCTTCGAACACATGGTTGAGACTGAAATTATCACCAACATAGGTGATTCCCCACCTAATCCAGAAACTTTATCCAAAACTCAACATTCAAACCCAAACACTGAAAACTGAATACCAATTGGCATCAAACTAGACGGTACTAACTATGCCTTGTGATCCCAAATTATGGAGATGTACATCTCCGGAAAAGACAAGATTGGCTACGTGAATGGTGATTTTCCACCGCCTCCACAAACTGATCCCAACTTTCGAAAGTGGCGAACGAACAGCGCCATTGTCAAGAGTTGGTTAATTAACTTCATGGACCCAACCCTTATTGGAAACTTTATTCGATTCCCCACAATGAAGGAGGTATGGGATGCTATTGACACCACGTATTTCAACGGTAGAGATGCGTCTCAGGTTTATGAATTTCGACGACAAGTTATTCGACTGAGACAATCGGGAGGCCCGTTGGAAAAATACTATACGGATTTTTAGGGGCTATGGCGTGAGATAGACTTTCACCGCCCCAATCCAATGGAATGCACCACCGATATTCAACACTATGAAAAGATGGTCCATAAAGATAGAGTTTACACCTTCTTGGATGGACTTGATGATCACCTGGGCAGCATTCGCAGTAGTGTGCTATAGATGAAGTCGTTCCCTCCACAGAACAAGCCTACGCACATGTTCATAGAGAGGTGCTTAGGTAGGCGGTCATGGGCCCCATCGATGCCGACAGCACCCCTGACGCGATTTTTGCCGCCAAGGGAATTAAGCTAGGTCCAATTACCGCCTCTTCTAATAGGTCGAAGTCTATAGGTCTCAACAAAACACATGGCACCAACAGTGGAAAATTAAAGGCTAAAGGGGCCAAATGCTCACACTGTGGGAATATAAGGCACACACGTGACAATCGCTTTAAACTTAACGTGTATCCAGACTGATGGCACGAACTACAGGAAAAAAAAAGAAAAGGGACGTGGGAGGCACAGATGGACGTAAGGATAAGGTGGCCATGGTGATCGCTGAACCCCAATTGTCTTTACTACCCAAAATTGAGTCTTCTCAAAGTGCGGGTCCTACATCAGATATAGGTAATTTTGGTTCCGCATTAACTACCACTTCTAGGGACGAGAATAGAGGTGCTTGGTTACTCAACTCTGGAGCCACTGACCACATGACATATGACGTGAAAGATTTTACTCAGAATTCCATACCTCGACGCACTAGTGTTGCAAATGCCAATGGGGTCATTTCCCCGAGTCACAGGAGCCAGCTCCGTGACTTT